TGAACCCCAGTCGGAGAACGGATGCTCAACTCACTGAGCTACAACTCAATAGCATCCACACAATTATACAGCTATCACTGTTTTCCTCATTGCTAAAATGGATTTAAAGGCATAGTGTGTAAAATCTCAACACTAGATGTCAGTAGATAGCAGTCACTCGAACTCTGTTTTAATACTCCTTTCCTGAATTTCTGTTTTCTATTTACACTGCAGGAAGCTATAAAACTTTGTTACAGAAGTCAGGTCAGGTTGCTGCTGTTAGCTGCTGTTAATGAAACTTTCTTTAAAGTGGATCTAACATAGTTGGACTTGAACAATGAATAAACTCTCATATGATGTGAGAACATAATCAAACTGTTTATTAGACGGAAAGTGTGATTTTTAGGATACTCAAACCTCACGTTAGTTGGCATAATGTCAGCTTACAACCAGCTATTGTTGTTGTTTGGCCAACTCATTGTCAGCTGTGCACAGACAGGAGGGTCACATATTTAATCTTCTGACAATAAGTAACTGCAACTAGGAATAAACAAGCATGTTTAAACATGTTTTCATGTGATAGAAACTTGACTTCAGTTCAGGAGATGAGGCCTGAGGTGAGAAGAAAGAGGCTGAGGTAGAAATGAGGGAGGAGAGAGCAGTGGAGGAGGAGAAAGACATGATGGCAATATACATACTCATAAGGTATATATGTGCTTGATCTCTAGCTGCATCTATTAGGTGGATCAGTGACGTCTGTCTCAGCCACTGTATTCAAGATGGGAGAGCAACATGGCTCTTATTTATTTTTAAAGGATTTTAAAGGATAAATTCAAGTTCAAGAACGCATCAATTTGCTGGAAGATGTATTTACACAATAATTAATTTCTGTTTATGAGTACATTTTCTTCTGTTAAATAACTTAAACAAAGTACCTACTGTACCGTTAAAGGCTGACCAGAAAGACAAGAGACAAGACAGGACAAGTAGAAGAGAATTTTTGAGAAACTAGGTAGAGGAATAATTCTGTTGTCCTCTCTGGCATGGATGAGTTTGTGTTTCTACATCCAATGTGACATAATATCTGACCTTTCCTAGGCCCTCATATGCAGCTGCTTCGTCCCGTTTTACTGTGGTGTCATTCCACCCAGATACCGTGGAGTGGTAAGTATATTAGAAAGGTTGAAATGACAACCCAGTTGACATTACAGCACATAAACAGAGTTACACTTAGTTGTGTAACAGTATTCTGGTTTCTATCTGTGCAGCTGGCAGCATATGGAGACATCTCAAAACTCTGCTTGTGTCTTATCCTGATTTGTGAAACCAAGTTGAATTAAAGTTCTGGATGACAGATATGCTAAAAGTGATTGAGCCTTCATCAGAAACTGTGTACAGTTTTTTCAGTGTTAAATAATCTGAATATCTGGTTCTATGTGGTTGTGACATGGACCAAGATTATACCTAATGACAAACAGCTTACTTTTCCATTCAGCACTATGTGGACGGTGCCATCACTGACAACCTGCCCGGTTGTCAACTGAAACAGACAATCACGTTCTCGCCATATGCTGGCAAGAGTGATATCTGCCCCCGGGCAAGCACACTAAACCTCCCTGAGGTACGCTTCAACAATGTCAGCATCCAGGTCAACTCAGAGAACCTCTACAGAGTGACCAGCACCTTCTTCCCTCCAGAGCCTGAGGTGTGTTACAGATTTGTGTAGATTTGTGTAGATTTCTATTATTTTCATCAGTTTTCATCAGTTTGAATTTTTACAGGCAATGGCTGAAATTTGCAACAATGGCTACAGGGATGCTTTTCGTTTCCTACAAGAAAACAGTAAGGACGTTGATAATGGCGGCTAAATATTCATGAGAATAAACTGGCTCCAAAAGATTCAACTCAAAATAAAACAAAAGATACAAAATAGACCATTCCATAGAAGCGTTTGTCAGATTTGTTTTTCTTTACTCCTTATCACATTGGACTTCTTTGCTTGTCACAGATCTGATCAGCAGTGAGTGTCCCATAAGAAATCTGGCGATCGATTCATTTAAAAATGTCTGCTGTGAAGTGGTGAAGGAGTCCAGCGTGAAGGCACAGCAGGATGGATTGAACACACTTCGGGAAGATCACTGGTGGTTGGATCCACACCTCGTAGAAAATCTCCCGATTGAAATTCAAAGGGGTAAGGACAGTTCGCCTGTGATGAGATCAGCAGGGAAAATACAGCAGACAAATAATATACCATTGAGCCAGTGCAATCATTTTTTTAATGCAGTCAAAGTAAATATGTTTTTTATTGTATTTGTGTCAGTGCTATGCGTGGCCTGCAGAGAGACACGTACTGCTGATGGTCTGTTCTCCTACATGACTCGGTACCTGCCAAAGAAAGTGACTTCTTACATACAGATCCCCTATTTTCTGCCTGTTGAGTTGGTCAGCTCTCTATCCCAGAGGTACTTACTTACTAGTCTTTATGTTGGATCCACCACATTCAAATGAATTATGCTTACACTGAGCCCTTTTCTTCCCTGTGATCTTAAAATCAAAAACTGTTCTTTTGTTGTTGATGCCAAAAATGTATTTTTCATTCTCAACTACTAAACTGGGCAAACATTATTTAGTTTTTACTGTCAGTTATTTTTGGCAGAAGTAAAAATTTAAAAGAGATTTTCATTCTGGACCAATATTTCAGTCTAACCTTTAATGTAGGATTTTATACAGATTATTTCCCCTTTAGCGATAATGCTGTTTTTACATCAAAGTGCCAAGTGCTTTGACCTTTCACAGTCATTATGGATTAATGTGTTTCTCTCTCTTTGATTGCTTCTTTCAGATTAGTTTACTGGATTCCAGATCTACAGAGGGACATGAGCTGGCTCTATAGCATGGTTGGAGACATATACAAACAAGCATTGAAGGACAACAAGGAGGAGAGTGATAGGTAGGCAGTGAAAGGAAGATATGCTGTGCATTCTTCCACTCTTGATAAAAGGATGTAATGTGATTTCACTGGTGCAGACATGATATCATATGTCAAAGTACAAATGTGATAAATGTAGTCCTTAGTTTTATAGATGTACTGAACCAAAGATTTGGATAACATGATTAAAATCTAGATAAGATAATTGTTGAAAAATCTATCATTAGATTTATTTCTTGGAACAATGGCCATGAGATGTTCTGACAGTGGATTCAGAAGATTTTCCACACACATATTAATTTCAATGTTTGTTTTTCCAGTGAACCACCTCTGCGCAGATCTAAAAGCCTGCCGTTAGGCCTGAACCTGTGCAGTGAAGGAGAAGGAGATATAAACAATTCCTCAGTGACCCCAGAAGCCACTTCTGCCTCTAGCCGTACCTTTACGTGCAACACACACAGTACATTGGCTCACATGCTTCTGATACCACCCACTGGCAGCGGCACGTCTGGGTTTAATGAAACCACCCTAAAACCAAGTGCAGGTAGAGGCTGGGGTTTGGGCAGAGTTACGGGATGGCTGGGAAATTCAAGCAAACAAACTTGAAATCTCAAGAAAAAAACAAAACCATAACAAGCAAAAACAACTGTGATTGTGTGTAGCCCAGTCTGAGAAACTGCAAGACATATTATCTTTATGCCAGCAGCTGGCAACATCAGCTAAACAAAGAAAACAAATAAATAAACAAATAATGAATTACAATAATCTTTTTTGCCACTGTAATAGGATATAATGAAAAAGAAAATCATTTATCTGTGTCATCATGCCTCAATGCCCTGTTTACAAGCTTAGATAAATCATCTCTTTCTTGCCTACAAACTATGTAAAATGGCATGGCCGGATTACCATGTTCTAGTAAGCAAGCTCACATTGCTCATTTTTTAAATTTAAAAGTATTGTATTTACGCTAAATAGAGAGGCTGTAGTCTATTTACCCCATCTTCTCCTTAAACACACTGCTATTGGCTCAGTCAGTTGTTCCTCACACATCACTGAACACTAAGAGTGGACAGAGCCTTTCAGACACTGGCACTAAGGGCTTGAGATGGTCTCCTACTACAACTATACATACCTGACTCTGTGGACTCCTTTAAAATGCATTTGCAAACTTGTCTTTCATATGTATATATTCCTGCTATTTTCTATTGTGATTCTTCCAAGTTTTTATTTTGTTTATTCTGTAAACTTGTATGGCTCTTTGTGACTACATAGCTGTATAAGTGTTTTATCAATAAACTCCTAATATTTTACTTACATATGAGTATTTAATGTTTACTTGGCTTTCATTTGGATCCATTCTTCTCACACACAGCCATAATGCTCAAATTGGAGCTTTTGAGCATTAACAAACAAATGAACAAACCCGTTTGATGTAAGGTCCAAGTGTCAAGTAAATAAATAGAAAGGTGTGTGTGTGTGTGTGTGTGTGTGTGTGTGTGTGTGTGTGTGTGTGTGTGTGTGTGTGAGAGTGCTGGGGTGTATTACTGGAGCTGTAAAAGTAAATATGTATCTCATGGTATTTTTGATTTTGATGTTGTTGTTTTTTAAAATATCTATTATAGCTTTTCAGATATAAACAATACAAATAAGCCAAATATTTGATTTGAACAAAGTCACACATTTATGTTCAATATTGGGGCAAATAAATAGAATCACTTTATTTATTTTTTATTTATTTAATTTATTTATTTATTTATTGTTTATTTATTTCACCTAATACAATGCTCATTGGCTAATATGATATAACACACACGTGTTTCTTGGATTTTTTTGTATCTCATAAATTATAGCCCTTCACAAACACCTACTAACTAGTCAGAATGGTCATGGCGTTTTCCCACTTGTGCCTCCCATATTTTTGTACACAGTGCGGAGTTGTGTAACTAATGAAAACTGTATCACATGTCATACAGCGGGCCAAATTACAGTTAGTGAGCAACTCCAGCTTGTTTTCTATTTTGAAACGTTTGAGCCTAGTAAGTTGTGCAATACCACACCATAGCCAGCTAAAACACTCCCCGTTTACATCTGACTGTAGTGCAGATAACGCAGGTCAATTCAAACCTGGGAGGTTCCTAAATGCACCAGCTGAACTCTGAGACACGACTGACAAAATGACAATATTATAGATATCGTTCTGAGTTTTCTTACAGTCTTCTTACAATCTTATAGTCAATGGAGAAACCAGGTAAGATGTTTAACTGGGTCGAGGAGTGGAACATCTCTTTTGCAGGCTGTGGATTCAGGAGCATTTACTACGTAGGAGCTTTGAGCTGTATCCTGGAGCGGGCTCCACAGCTGGTTCATGGTGCTTCTAAAATTTGTGGATCTTCCTCTGGGTGTCTCGTGGCTGCAGCTCTCACTGTTGGCATTCCCATTGGTGAGTCACATTTAATGTGCACTGCAGATTACAGTTTGTCCAGCTCTTCAACAGTTTGTTTCTTAAAGAGAAATTAAAGAGGAATTCATAAATAAAATGTAACTCTTGGTATCATTCTCATACACAAAATTGACCAATAAAAATATGCAAGTTTATTTTATTTCTACATGCCTTGTTGAATATATGAAAACATTTTGTGTGACATAATTCATGTTTATTGCAATGCGTTGTATTTTTGTATGAAATTTTTGTCTTTTTTTCATTCGCACTTGAAGTACCCGTCCATTCATGAAGTTCAGGCATATCTCAAAACAAATGGTGTTGTATCTGACACTAGGCGGTGTATTTCATAAGTTCCTGACACACAAACAGCTGATACAACAGTGAGAGCAAATTCCATAGGTCGCACAGAATTCAAGGTCAAGTGAGCGGACTGTAGAGGAAAACAACTGCTGTGCAATAAAAAACAGACATGTGGATAATGCAATGATACATCATAATGTCACTGGTTCTCTACATTAGCCTGAACATTTGGTTCTGCTCCATTTTCTCCCTCAGAACAGTTGTGTGCTGATATTTTAACCACAGCGAAGGAGGCAAGAAAACACACCTTTGGAGTTTTCCACCCGACCTTCAGCCTGCTCCGGACAGTCAGGGACTCCCTGCTGGAAAAGCTTCCAGAAGATGCCCACCTCCGGGCTTCTGGAAGGCTCTGCGTGTCTCTCACCCGAATAGTTGATGGGAAAAATGTTTTGGTGTCCGAGTTTGCCAGCAGAGAGGAGCTCATTCAGGTTCATCAGATTGGTGACTTTACAGAAAAATTGTTGGGATCTTTTAGGCTTCTCTGTTCTAGTGATCTAACCTCTTTACCTTTGCAGGTTCTCATGTGCAGCTGTTTTTTCCCTGTTTACTGTGGTTTCATTCCACCTTCATACCATGGCATGGTCAGTAGAGCTTAACTTTTTTTTGTATGCTTTCTTTGCTTTTACTGGTCTTATTATTGAAATAAATGAGTAGAGATTTCTGTGCCATAGACCATAGAGAATGGGAAAGAAAAACCGCTTCAAAGCTACAGGAGCATTTTATTGCCAGATTTCAGAGGCAGGTAAATTTGGGAATCATAGAAGTGGAACGGGATATCATTCATATATCATATCAAATCGTTTCTCATCACGCCCTGTTGCAGTTGAGCGAAGACAACCATCTCAGCAGTCTCAGCAAGTTTCATAACATAACCTTACTAATCGGTCGGTGATGTTATGGTGGGCATGGCCATCTAATACAGTCTATGGCTTTCTTGGCTAAAAGACGCAATATCTGGAGGCTTTGTTACAGCCAAAACTTTTAATTTTTTTCTCTGCTCACACGTTAATTTTAAACTCATTCAAGGTTTACATAAGGTAAGTGGCATAGAGCACACAGGTAAAGAGGCAAGCACACTGAAAATTATGATTGAGCATACAAACAGAGCACACAGCATACGTATGATCTTTATTTGAGAGTAGTAATCCACCTTTACTTTATAAATGCTATGGCTGCTTGGTATATGAGGACAGTTCGTGACATGTTTTTGTCACACTAGATCTACTTCGTCATCTCAGCTTGCCATCAATTTTGATCATTTTTCTTTCTTCTAAGCGCTACGTGGATGGAGCACTGAGCAACATGATGCCGTTGTCCGAGCAGAGAAACACCATCACCATGGCGCCATTCTCAGGAGAGAGTGACATTTGCCCCAGAGAAGGGTCATACAATTTCTTTGAAGTCCACTATGGAAACGTCAGCATTCAGGCCAACACAGGAAATGTATATCGAGTCTGTACATCCTTCCTCCCCCCCAGACTTGAGGTGGGTTCATGTTCAGAGCTCACGACTTTAAAGCAGTAGAGTGTACAGTAATGTTTAACTGGGGTTTTTTTTGTGAGGCAGAAGCTGGCTGAGATATGCCACAACGGCTACATGGATGCTCTTTGTTTCCTGAGAGAGAAAGGTGAGATTTTTCCACCTTCATTTTCTTTAGCATTTCTGGTTTACACCATAAAGTTATATTAAAACATGTTATCAACCAACTGTCTCAGATCTGCTTACAGCACAAAATATTCACAGCAGTGTAGTGGTAGGAGCCAAATCTCCTTGCTGTGAGCAGACGAGGGAAGTGGGTCGTGCAGAAGAGAGGATGATGAAGTGTCACAAGGAAAACCATCTGGACCACAGAGTCATTGAGAACCTCCCAGTGGCTATCAAGAAAGGTAAGGAGGTCAAATGAGATGAGCTGATCATCAGATATACAGAAGTTTTTGTAAGACTTTATTTTAATTGGAAAAAAATGTCCTTGTAAGAGCGCTGGTTCAAATGGTAAAGAGGACACAGAAATGGAACAGGAAGAGTGTAAAAATTTGGTATGAACATAAAACAATCATCTTTATGTTTGCCTTTCATGGCCCTGGATAAACCCCAGTGTACACCCCAACATCAGTTGTGGTGTACAAACCTAAACAAGGGATCCTGAAAGCCTTTTCAAAGATTAACTTCTGACAGTTAATGACATTTAGTTAAATCGATTATATGTTAATGCTAACAAATTGAAAAAGTATTACATTAGGAGGGCATTACTTGCATCCACCATCTTGATACTGCTGTATTCTTCAAGGTAAGAAGATAGAGGAATCTAATGTAGCTCATATTTAAATAATCATAAAATATTTCTTTACAATATCCTCTCTGCTTTCAGTAAAATGGTAGGCTGTAACAGTCTTTCTGATCTATTCGGTGGATTTATATAGACTGCCAGGTCCACTGAGCAGCAGAATATGATGTAATCTTAAGATTTTAAACTAATGATTTAAATTTCCCATTTTATGTAAAATGTATTAAATTGAGGTTTAAATGAATGAACAGTGTCATTTATACCACACACTAGGTCTCTCACAGGTAGCATGACACATAATTTTATGTAATTTCCACCCTTTGTGTGTCTGTGTTAGTGCTATGTGAGGCATGCAGGGATAGTCATGACAGTAGCAGCTGGAGGCCGCATTACAGGGACTTCCTCACAATGAATTTGTTTACCCATCTACTTACCTTCCTCATCTTACCTGTTGAGCTGACCATCTTTTTTACCAAAAGGTAAAGTGTGAACTGTTTGATCTGAGAGTTCCCTAATATCCTATTCTCTACTGGGCTTTGGAATGAACTTGGGTTAACAACAGCAATTAGTACTTCAATTTCTTTCTTTTTTCTGTGTTTTACTGTGACAGCATGGTGTCATTCAGCTGTACAGCACTTTGCAGATTGTTACTGTGGTCTGCAGATTTCTACAGGCAGAAATGGAGTATTAGCAATGATAGCATCAACAGGTATGTGTACATAAAAATTCACAATTTTACCTCTTTAAAAAAACTGATTTAACCTTAGGATTATTAAATCTCATTTTTGGCTTTCTTTACATATGCCGTGTCTTTGTCACTCCAACAAACTGTATCTGTTGCTAATATTATAAGGAGGTAACATTAATGAAAAGCTCATCCTTTGTGTGATTTTTAGTTTTTTTCCTCTTCATATTCTTCAGCGCATCTCAAGAGAATAACTGCATCTGCAGGTCATCTGGTTCAGACAGCAGGAATCAGAGAGGACGAGACATAAATACACAAACTCTGAAATCAAAGATGACCTCAAATTCTAAAATTAATCTCTGCTGGGACACCAATGGCAACATGGACCTTATGCCCCCAGTCTCAACTAGAACTGCATCTGGCCAGGTGATGTTAAACACACCAGGGAAGGGACGTGTAATCAACCATAAAGAAAGTGGAAAAAAGATTGATTAAAGGAAACCAACAAAGGAAAAACAAACAAACAAAAAAACTTCAGCATTTGCTGAACTTGTTGACATCTTATCAACACCATGAGTCTAATTGTAATGTACAACAGGAAAATAAAAAGAAAGCCTTTTTCTTCGCAAAGATTGAACAATAGCTACCATGTGATATTGAAACAAAGGTAAAACAAAAGTATAGAAAAAGCATCATCAGTAAATTTTAATGGACAAATGAGTCATTCCGTGTGACCGATATAATCATAAACATAACATAATTCTACAATTCCTAAAGCAAAATAAAAATAAAATAAAACCCATTATATGTTTCGTAACACATTTAAAGGCTGGTGAGATGATGCCTCTGCAGGACCTCTGACATCGAGTCATCACTTTGCATCTCATCAGTTCATAGCACCATGAATGTAACATTTTAATGCTAACCAAGTCCTCCCTGCAAACAGAGGATCACACAAGCTCACACTGATCAGTCAAGTTTATAAAATAAAATTTCTGGAACTTATCTGCTGTTGTGAAACAGCAGATAAGTTCTCATTTAGTTCTCATTTAGTTCTCATTTACTGCATTGCAGTGCAGTGCAGTACAGTACAGTACAGTACAGTAAAAAGGCAAAACAAAGGTTTAAATGATGTGTGACTGTCTTTGAAAAGACAGTCACACATCATTAGCCACTTTCAGACAAGTATTAATTTGTATTCATCTTACAGCATCTTATCAATGGGCACCCCTGGTCACTCTGTTCTAAAAGTCAGAAGGGCAATCTTATTGGGCCAAACCTAGTAATATTTACGAATCACTTTAAGAAACAGACAGTATAAAAACTGGTGCTGAAGCGCCTTAAACCAAAGGTCGGCATAATGATTCATGTGGTTGTCAAAAAAAAATTCTCTGGAATAATGGTATGTGTGAAAAAAGCTCTGAGGAACATTACCATCATTTATGTCAGGACAGAGCACCATCGATGTTGTACGCACTGTGTCTGAAAGAGGCTACTGTCAAGTCCCTGATTTCACATATTTAAAAAGACTGCAGTGAAGACGATCATGCTGTATATGTTTACAAGATCACAAAGAATTAAAAAGGTGCAGAAAATATATTCTGCAAATTTTCTAAAAAGTCCACTATATGTTTTTTTTTTTATATTCCACTCAGACACTAATTAAAAAGGAATTTTAAAACCTGACAAAAAAAAGAGGTAAGAGCTAAGTTTGCTCAAGTCTCTGTGTGTAGCACAGGCAAGCCCTTTTCCTCATATGCTACCATCTTTTGGTCCGCTGCCTATGTCTGGAATCTGATCTGCAAAGGACTGGGTCATCCACTGTCCGTCTGGGAGCTGGCCATCAGCTGTTTGTGATACAGTCGCCTCCTGTGCTCCTTCTGGGGGTGGAGAACACAGAAACAGAAGCATTTTTCTATGCATGTAAGATGTGAACGAATGATGTCTGTAGCAAAGTTCATGCTCATGGTTACTCCAGCTCCTGGCCAGGATTGTGCCATCACTTTAAGACAAATTACACATGTCCGTGCAATTACATAACGCTACATTCACATCTGAGTAACAGACGGACTTATAAAAACTCAAATTTATACAAACTACACAGATTTATGCAAATCATACAAACTCAAGTGTCTCAACAGGTGGAGAATACAACTACCTGAAACTAGGAACCATAAGCGCCGAGGACTGTAGATGAATGTTGGGTGCATCCGAGCTCGCCCTCAGGCTCACCCTATCTGAATGACTTACCTGTATTTTCAGCAGATGAAAACGTGCAGTGACCGTTGCTCTGGCTTTCAGCTTGGCTTCCTTCAGGTCCTCTCTCGACATATGCTCCGCCATAGGCATCTTCATAACCAGGGTCGTATTGTTCTTCCTTTATTGCCAGCCTCTTGGCATCCTCTGTTGATATAAAAGGGGAAGAATTAACAAAATGCTTTAAAAAATTAATAAAATGGACAGGATATTAAATTAATGACTTCACTAATTTTAGTGGCTTTGAGGCATTTCTACAATATTAAAAGTAGGGAAAGTATCTATGGTAAATAACAGCGTAGTAGTTTTACTTTTTAAAAATTGAATTTTAATTAAAATTTCTAATTAAAGCCGCTGTAAAGGTACTCAGTGGTGAAATTCAGGTTAGACAGCCAAGTTACACATTTTTTTAAAGAAAAAAACAAAACAAAACCCAAACACGCATACGCATGCACACACCCACCCACCCACCCAGCCCTGGTCATGCTTACCCTTGGCCAGCTGAAGGTCAAACATGTAGTTGACCTCTTGGATCTCTGTGCTTCTTTGGACACCCTTCAGTTGGTCTCTGAGTTCTCTCAGTTTGATGTAGAAGTGGACTTTGTCCTGAGCACGAGGGAATTGGGCGCAACGAGCACTGGATGAAGGCATCAGAAACAAAGCCTGCAAAGAAGAAATAAACTCTTAAGTCAAGTCTTCAGAATGAAGTATCAGTTACTTTTAAGTATCACACTTGCAGTTCTTAATTTTCTAGTTGTCTATATTGATTTCCTTTGATATCAATATGTTGATCATATCACTTCTAACACAAAATATAAAGGCTTGCACATTCAATTTCGGGTCAGTTCCTATAATTACAAATTTAAGCCTTTATGAACAACATACTAGAAAAATCCTACATTTTTGACATTTTAGTCTTAATATTATTTTCACACTTTGAACATTGTCTATTAAATTTATTGAATAAATACAAATAACAGATGAAAATATTTCTTAAATATTCTTGAAGAACAGCATGTATCTGTATCATTTCCACCAATATCTGAAGAAACTTTTAAAAACCTGACTGAAAACTGAGTTCTCACCACGTCACAGTCGGGGATCTTGTGTGGCTGCAAACCAAATTCGAGTTTTTGTGGTTTTTTACCAAACAGTTCTCTGCAGAACATTTCATAGATGCCTGTGGACAAAAGAAGATAACTATTAGCTTAACTGACTTAAGCAAACTGTTTTATGGCAACTATTGCTCTTTGTTAGTAGGTGGGCTTACATTTTCCATTGAACACAGCAATAAGTGGCTTGTATTTTTTCAGCTTCTCCACAAGAATTTTGCCTCCTTCACGCAACTCTTTACTGGTGAGATGAAATGAAAGAAAAAGGTTTATGAAACCTATAAAATATTTATTTTCTAATATGATGACTGAAATCTTTTACAGTCATATACCTTGTAAGATCTTTGCTCCCTGGTGTTGCCCTGGCCACCATGTTGGTGAAGCCCATTTTATACTTAACAGGTAGGACGGTGTCATGCATGTGGTTGAGCTGCTCATCAGTAAATCCAGACAGAAACAAACACTTCCCTGAAATCAAAAAGTGACCAGGTGATTCAGCACCCAAGGCTAATAAATACGGACATTTTATTGAACCTGTGTACCCAGAAGAATTACATACAAGAAGAGAATTTACAAACTTCACAGAGAAAGGCTAAGGACATGTTTTATTCTGTAAGGTAAAAATCTGCACCACTGTGTCAGCAAATCAATAACCTTTCTGAAGCCTAAGATCCATTTTTATGTTACCACAAGACAACTCAAAATAATTACAGTATAATAACTTACAGAAATGATTTCCAGGACCTGGAAACCATCTTCCAATGAAAGCTGCCATCAGACCTGGATTGATACCAATCTGAAAGCAAACCGGTGAGGTTAGCCACGCTTATGTTCACATTATGGTCTAGCAGTGAACTAGACATAATATATAATTATCCAACTAAAAAGTGAATCTTACAATGACATAGTCTAGGTTGTAGTCCAGCAGGTCTGGTAGAGTCTTTTTCATGACCTCCTCCTCTGACATGCCCTTGAAGCGGTCTACTTTCCTCTTTACCTTCTTGAAAGTTTCATCAATCTTCTCCTGTTTCCCATCAGCCTGAGCTGCCTTTTTGGGCTTTGGACCTGGTTTTGCTTTAGGTGCATTTGGGTCTTTTGGTGGCTTTCGTGCCTTTGGGACTTTTGGTGGTGTGGGTGCCCCTGGTTCCTTGGGTTGAGCTGGTCTGCCTCTCTTTTTAGCTGGAGCTACAAGAATTGAGAAAACAAAAATAAAAAAAAGATAAGAGACCATGATGTAAGTACTGTTGGAAGTCATTTGCTCTTGTGTGGTGTTAAACTGCAGTTTTGGCAGACTATTTCTATATATCATCATGCCCTAATATACAGCAAATAAATTCTATTAAAAAAAACACCATATATAATGGTAAGACTGTCACACTAAACTAACATTAGATCCTAAACTGAGGATAAAGTGCAACAAGGGGAAAAAGTTTATAACCCGCAGTAGATTTTTCTTTGTGAAAAGGCTGCGGTCAGCTGCCCTAGCAAAGCTTCCTCCAACTTATCAATACATACTTTACACAACTGAGTTACTGACTACACAATATTCATGCTTTGGTTAATAAACTTACTTCCCTTGTCACTGTCTATGAGCAAAAGGAACTCTGAGCGACTGTAGGAAGGAGGAAGCCTTTAAAGCTGAGCACATCATGCTTAGGTGTAGCTCCAGCCAATTTACCTGCTCCTGCTGAACATCATGCAGCAGAAAACAAAACATAAAGGCCTAGTGCCCAGATAGGCAATTTAACTCATAATGTTTTGATGACCCCTATCAGACTAAATTACAGATTAACTGAAGGAATATCATTCCAGCCCATTTTAAACCCTGATCCTAACTTATAACTAGGTGTTAACACAATAAATATATCAAAGTACGTTTTGTCAAGTTGGTAGGTTCCAGCTGATCCATCACGGGTTCCGGATTAACCATGTTTGCCATAGCTGGCTCTCCAGCTTGATGCTCTGTATAGTGAAACTGATGTTCAGGAATGACGTCTGAATATTGAGCCTGGAGAGCTTGAAACTGCTGGGCAGACCGAACCCTGAGGTGGAGGAAATTTAGAAAAACAAAACAAAAGCACAAAATGGTTAAGTATTTTTACAACAATCAAGTTGGCTGTGTGAGATGCACTGTGGAGTTAAAACAGATGTTAGCTGGATTACATAAACTATGTGCTTTTTGTTTAGGTCTTTTTGTATTTAGCTGAGTGGTGATAAAAGAGCAAACACATTGATTTTAATCATCTAATTACTAGAGATGGCAAAATACCACTTTTTTATGTCCGATACCGATATCATAAATTTGGATATCTGCCGATACCGATATGAGTCCGATATAGTGTTTTTTAATCAATAAAACGGTTCTTTTAATATCTTGCTGCATTTTGTATAAGTTCATACTCAAGTTAAAATAAACAACAACACTAAAGCTATTCTGTTATACCTGTATGTAAAAAATACACTGCCCACAAAATATTTCATAGTTCAGCAATACTGATCAATCAAATAAACTTAAACCTGCACCATCCTTCCTGTTCTGGTATTTGAAAGAGTACTTAGCAGAAATATTAAGCAACCTAACTAATAGGGTTGCAAACTCCCAGCAAAAAAA